ATTGCGCTTTCCCCCAGCGCAGCTGCCGCTTAAGGAGCAAACCGGCACGCTGCGGCGTTCGCTTCTGCAGAACGCGAAGGACGCGAGGACCTCTGCTTGATGGTTAAACTTCCCCCCCGATAAATTGTGGAAGTGTTTTACTCCGTAAAAAATGGAGTCCGTAATAATCTGGCATACAACATGTATTCAATTTATATTTTAAAATATTTTATTTGTTACTGACGTTTTTTTTAAGTTTGATTTATATTTTGTGTTCACATAAAATATCTGTGGCAGAGTACAAAACAGCATTAATACGGTAAGCGTTTTATTTACATTGTCAGTATGGGATATCACACTTTTTACATATACACTATAGTCTCTTCTTTCAGAAGGTTCAAACTTCCCAACAGCAATTTTTTTGAAGGTATAAATTTTAATAAAACCTTCAAATGCTAACAACTTACCAAATGTAGACTCCAGAAACCTGGTGTACAAATGCAAAGTAAATAAAAAGGTGTTAAATATAAAACTAAAGAGTGACACTACCTATCTGTAGTGTCTTTCTAACTCTATTAGTCTTAATTTATTGTTACCTCTTTTTATAAATATGGATAACTCTCATGGCTCAGAACATGGAGGGAATGGCTTGTGATTTAGTATTCAGCTCAGGTCTGATCCTGCAAAGCTAAGAGGAAGCTGAGGAAGCTTGTCTTGATGCTGACTTGGCCTTCTAGCCCACCTACATAGCTAAAGGAGTACTTTTGTGCAGACTGCGCCCTCTTTAGCAAAGGTCTTTGTAGCATACTAACCTATTCTTCTGAGTTAGTGGTTGACATTTTGTTACATTCAGTCACTATACTATTCCTCTATTTTTAATTCGTCTTCCTCCACAATTGCTTGAGCTGCAGCAGGCAGAGGCTGGCTGCGAGGCAGTTAATTTCCACTGCTTTAGCTGGAAGTAGGAAGGAATCCATCCCACTCATTCTCATTCATTCTGCTTTTCTGTGTCTGTACAGCCATCGCCGTAGCATTCACGTCAGCAGGGTCCCCCTCGTAACTAACAAATAATTCTGGCGTGCCACGATCTTTTATCAGTAAGTGTCTCAAACTTTAACCTGTAAAATTATCACGCCAGCGGTAAGTTACCATGGAAAAAAATGTTTCCTGCTCTCAGCACAGAAACTGCAGTATGAAGGACTGCCCACACACTACACAAGTCTCTGCCCTTCACTGATGCTCAGCTTTTCTGGCAGTGAAAACCTCTTTCAAATTTTCTGATGGTAAGAACCTGTATTCACCACCATTAATTCAAGCCTTACGCATTATTGTCTTACATCACTACCATCAGTATTACGTTTTATGGCTCTGTGCACATCTTCCAATTATAGGTGTTTGTGCCCAGAACTCAACACTACATAACTTACATGAGAACCCACGGAACATACTGAAGTTTCTCTGAGATAAAGCTTGAAATGGTACACACCCAACTAATTAATGCAGATACAAAAGGTTTACCAGTATTTAAATGTGTACTGCAGACAAAATTAATGGCATAAGGAAGTCTACAACTGATTTCTAAAGTTATAAATGTTTTGGCTTAGACTAGGGAGATTGCAAAGAAACACACCAGTTTGGGATACCTTTCTTTCTTCCTGACTAGCAACCAAAATTATGTTTAATACATCTATTGGGGAACAGGGTGGTTCTTGGGTAATACAGCCTTAGTCTTACAGGCCGGTATTTCATAGTTAAACTCAGATGGCAATAGTACAGTGATAAATATTAAATACTTTGTCAGATGCCCTGACAAACTGTCTCTTGGCTAAGAAAAGGAAAAGTTAGTCTCATTTCAGTTAACTGTGATCGCAATCCTTTATTAGAAAAGACCATCACAGTTAAGCCTTTTTTTCGATTTCAGAGATATCAAGGTTATAGAAATGCAACTGCAGCTCTACGGGTATAAATGATCCCTACGGTTCAGAAGACCCACTAGAGCCACAGTATAGCTTGTCATGCTGTGTCACCCCATTAGCGCTACACGGTCTATAAGTACAGCACTACAGTCTCGCAACTGAACAAAATTAGTATTTTTTCAGCATTCTAACATCTAAGACAGGCACTTCAGTAGCTGTAGTTTTATAAAAAACTTCATTCCAAACAAAGGTGTACTCTAACTAATCTGACAGGCAAAAATTCCACAAAATAAAAATCAGTGCTGCTATCTAATTTCCAAAGAAGTGCTTGTTAAGATATTTTTGTAGTTCCATAGGTGTACAACTGCTTCAAAGGGAAGAAGAATAATGTCCCACTATACCTTTATCACACCTCTCACTAACACTACATGTAAGTAGAGAACATTCTATCGCAGTTCCAGATGAGTGTTTTGTGTCATGATAAACAATGGGCAAAGCGCACCACACCCTTTGTATCAGTTCAATTTTATTCTCGCTTAAATCTTTTTGTTTGCAAAACCAAAGGTTTTATCCAGGTCGTGCACTGGACAAACAGACCTACGCCTAGGTCAGAGAACTAATATTCGATACAATGGAAGAGAAAGCTAAATAAGGACTGAAAACAAGATTGTAGTTAAAATGTTGCTACTAACATTGTAATTCTAAGTAGACTTGAACTGAAAAAAGTTTTAAGCGCCCAAATATAAAATATAAGGCTGCAAGTGAGGGAAAATGTCACATTACAGATGTACACTAAAGATGTTTCTGTATGAAAGGATTCTTTTCCTTAATTTATTAAGAAAGAAGGTGTTCTTAAAGAAAGTACATGTCAAGTTTACCTCCCAAAATGTCTTTTTAGTGGTAGCTTCCCAACATCTTGGATAAAAGCAATCTGAGCTGAAAAAAATAATCACCGGCATCATATTGGGTAGATCACAATGCACATAGAATTAAAGACACTGGAAAATAAACAATTCATATGTTTAGTTAAGTGGTCCTGTATATATTTGCATTATTTTGGATACCAAAACAGTTTATATATATTTGAAGTGTTTATCACATTACCGTAACATATTTACAGATTACCTCCGCAGAATAATAAATCCCTACTCTCCGTCAACTGTGTATTTATTGTGTAGAGTTATTATTACATAGCCTGCAAAATTAATCTGGATGTAAAGCCTTAGTTAAGACATAAAGCCTTTTATTAGAAGTAATTAACATAGCATAGGTGACCCAGCTGTCTGAACAGTGATTTTTGGATTACATACCAGAGTATTAAATTACATACAGAGTAACCACCTGCTACTGGATTGCCTCATGTTACACAAATTTTTTAAATGCACTGCAAACTTTGGTTTTGTTTACTTTATCTGGGAAAGGCTTTTTAAAGCCTTTTGAATCTGTTGATGTTACTTTAAAGGGATCAGTAAGCAATGAAGATCTAGTTAATATAGTCTACAGGATTTCCAAAAGGCTTCTCACCAAGTCCCCCAACGGCTTGTAAAAGAAACCTTAAGCCTTAAAAGAAGCCTTAAGCCTAAAAGGATGACTTAATAATGAAGTCTGATAACTAGCTAACAGATAGGAAATGCGGGAGGGGAGTATGAGTTAACAGTTAACTCCTGCAATGGAGGAAAGTTGCCAATGCCGTTCTGCAGAGATCAGTGCTAGGACCTGGGCTACCCAGTACATTCCTAAACGTAACCCTGTGAAAGAAGGGGGTGAAGAGTGAGACTAGCAGCTTTGCTGATGATGCTAAGCTAGACAGCCTAGTAAAGATGTGGGCTGTCAGAACTGTGCCAGGACTTTATGAGACTGAATGACAGGGCAATAACATGACGAAATTCAACGTACACAGGTACCTGAAGTCCATGCAGTGAAAAAGGGAAAGAAGGATTTAAAATACTTGCAACATGAGGGCCCTGACTTACATATTTATAAAGCATCACCTGCGCCTCACTTCTGGCAAGACAGATACTTGTTTAATTCTTTCAGTTAAGTAAGTTTTAAAGATGTTCTTGGTGTTGTTTCAAACCTACAGGAGAGCTTGAATCTTGGCTATGTGTCTAGCATATTTATGTACCAGCTAAACGTGTTTACCATATGTGGTTCTTTTAGTTAGGCAAAAGCATAGACAGTGTTGAAATTTTGGTTCCAAAAATGTATCATTATGTTACTGATAAAAAAAAAGAATCTACATGCAAGAGTTACACTGATCT